TACATGTAATAAAGGGTCGTAGTAGTGGTTATTTTTCAATGATGGTACTTGACCACCATTGGGCGATCGCAATGCGAATGATCAAACCGTCAGGAGGCCAAAACGCCGGAATCCCGATTTTGAATCCCCGGCACGGCTTCGAATCCCAGGCGGGTCGTGCGGTGGCACGCGGCCCCCTACCAATCCACGCGACCCACGGTTTCTTGTCGGAGGGGGGGGGGGTCACGACCCCCCCCCCCTCCGACAAAAAACCGTGGGTCGCGTGGATTGGTAGGGGGCCGCGTGCCACCGCACGACCCGCCTGGGATTCGAAGCCGTGCCGGGGATTCAAAATCGGGATTCCGGCGTTTTGGCCGAAAGACAAAGTGATGGTTCGCATTGTAATCGCCCAAGGGTGGTTCACCTACCGCTATTGTTTTTTGTTCGTAGTGATAGTAGTAGTAGTAGTAGCAGCAGCAGCAGTAGAAGTAGTAGTAGTAGTAGTAGTAGTAGTAGTAGTAGTAGTAGTCGCCGTACTATCAGTAAAGTAGTAGTAGCAGTAGTCGTAGTCGTAGTAGTAGTAGTAGTAGTAGTAGTAGTAGTAGTAGTAGTAGTAGTAGAAGTAGTAGTAGTACTAGTACTAGTAGTAGTAGTAGTAGTAGTAGTAGTAACCGTAGTAGTAGTAGTAGTAGTAGTAGTAGTAGTAGTAGTAGTAGTAGCAGTAGTAGTAGTAGTAGTACCAGTAGTAGTAGTAGTAGTAGTAGTAGTAGTAGCATTATTCCAGGTAGTAGTAGTAGTAGTAGTAGTAGTAGTCGTCGTCGTCGTAGTAGTCGTCGTCGTCGTCGTTGCAGGCTTTCTAGTAGTAGTAGTAGTAGTAGCAGTAGTAGTAGTAGTAGTTGTTGTAGAAGTAGAAGTCGTAGCAGCAGAAATAAGAGTAGCAGCAGAAATACTAGTAGTATTGGTCATCGTAATACTAAGAACAGTGGTAGAATGGCTAGTGGGAGGAATAGTGGTCGTAGTAGTAGCAATTCTAGTAGCAGTAGTAGTAGTAGTAGTAGTAGTAGTAGTAGTAGTAATAGTAATACCTATAAAGTTAGTAGCATCATGATCAGCGAGAGTAGTCGCACTGGTAGTGGTAGTGGTAGGGGTAGTAATAGTAGTAGTAGTAGTAGTAGTAGTAGTAGTAGTAGTAGTAGTCGTAGTAGTAGTCGTAATAGTAGTAGTAGTAGTAGTAGTAGTAGCAGTAGTAGTAGTAGTAGTAGTAGTGGTTATAGTCGTAGTGGTAGTGGTAATAGTAGTAGTAGTAGTAGTAGCGACAGTAGTCGTACCAGTAGTAGTACTAGCATTAGTAGTAGTGGCGGAAGCCGTAGTAATAATAGTAACAGCAGTAGTAGTAGCAGTTGTGTAGTGTGGTAGTAGTGGTAGTGGTAGTACTCACAATAAGAGTAAGACTAAGAGTAGTAGTAGTAGGAGTAGTAGTAGTAGGAGTAGTTGTAGTAGAAGTAGTAGTACTAGTAGTACTAGTAACAGTAGTAGTAGTAGTCGTCGTAGTAGTAGTAGTAGTGATAGTAAGTAGTAGTAGTAGTAGTAGTAGTAGTAGTAGTAGTAGTCGTAGTAGTAGTAGTAGTAGTAGTAGCAGTAGTAGTAGTAGTAGTAGTAGATTGAGTAGTTGCAGTAGTAGTAATGGTGGTGTTGGCAGTGGTACGAGTAGTGTTGTAGTAGTAGTCGTAGCAGGCAAAGCAAGACCCGTAGTAGTCGTAGTGGTAGTAGTCGTGGTCACTCTCAGTAGTGGTAGTAGTAGTGGTAGTAGTAGTCACAGTAGTAGTACTGGCAATACTTATAGTAGTAGTAGTAGTAGTAATAGCAGTCGCAGTAGTAGTAGTAGTAGTAGTAGTAGTAGTAGTAGTACTAGTACTAGTAGTAGTAGTAGTAGTAGTAGTAGTAGTACTAGTAGTAGTAGTAGTAGTAGTAGTAGTAGTAGTAGTAGTAGTAGATTGAGTAGTTGCAGTAGTAGTAATGGTGGTGTTGGCAGTGGTACGAGTAGTGTTGTAGTAGTAGTCGTAGCAGGCAAAGCAAGACCCGTAGTAGTCGTAGTGGTAATAGTCGTGGTCACTCTCAGTAGTGGTAGTAGTAGTAGTGGTAGTAGTAGTAGCAGTAGTAGTACTGGCAATACTTATAGTAGTAGTAGTAATAGCAGTCGCAGTAGTAGTAGTAGTGGTAGTAGTAGTAGTAGTAGTAGTAGTAGTAGTAGTAGTAGTACTAGTAGTAGTAGTAGTAGTAGTAGTAGTAGTACTAGTAGTAATAGTAGTAATAGTAGTAGTAGTAGTAGTAGTAGTAGTAGTAGTAGTAGTACTAGTACTAGTACTAGTACTAGTACGAGTCCTAGTAATGAGTCTAGTAGTAGCCATGGTACAAAAAGTGGTAGTGTTGGTAGCACAAATAGCAGTACTAGTCGTAGTAGTCGTTGTTGTTGTAGTTGTAGTAGTCGGCGTCGCTTCAGTAGAAGTAATATTATTAAAAACAGTAGGCGTAGTAGTATAAGCAGGAAAGAATAGTAGTGGTTGTAGTAGTCGGAATAGAAGTAGTAGTAGTAGTAGTAGTAGTAGTAGCAGCAGTAGTAGTAGTAGCTGTAGCAGTAGTAGTCGTAGCAGTAGTCGTAGCAGCAGGTCGAAGTAGTAGTAATTTTTGTAGTATTGGCATCAGAAGTTGGTCCTCCTGCAGCCCTCGAGAGTGAGCCCTTCTAGGGCTTATTTTGGCGCCAAAAAAACTCAATAAGGGCCCCGGCAGGGCTCCAAGAAGGCCCCAAGCGGGCCTTAAGAGTGGCCGAAAGCGAACTCAAGAAGGCCCCCAAAGCGCCCCTTTCCCATAAGGATTTTTCAGGACTCCCGTGGATTCGCAAATATTCTTAAGGATCCCAAGGAATCCCAAGGACCCTAAGGAATCCTAGGGACCCTGAGGAATCCTAAGGAATCATAAGGAATCCCAAGGAATCGAAGTACTTCTGAAGAAGAAAGAAGTACTTCTGAAGAAGACAGAAATACTTCTGAAGAAGAAAGAAGTACTTCTGAAGATCCCATGGTTGTAATTGGTCCCATTTATGGTTGCAATTCGCTCCGAACGGTTGGAATTGGGACGAGTCGGTTGCAATTCGTCCCATTTCGGGGGGAGGGGCGGGGGGAGGAGGAGGGAGGGGGGTTTAGGGAGAGAGGGAGGAGGGGGAGGGGAGAGAGGCAGGCCGGAGAAACGCGAGGAGCCACAACCACAGATGGCCCCTCCTCCTCCTCCTCCTCCTCCTCCTCCTCCTCCTCCTCCTCATCCGCCTCCTCGCGATCCGTCTGGCCCCTATGGGCCGCCAGGCATAGCAGAAAACCGAAACCCCGACACAAACTTAATCAATAGTTTCTCTGATCAGGCCACGCTAAGCTAAGCCAAGCTAAGCTAAGCTAAGCTAAGCTCGGCTAGGCTGAGCTCAGCTCAGCTAAGGTAAGCTAAGGTAAGCTAAGCTAAGTTAAGCTAGGCTAAGCTAAGATGAGATAAGCAAAGCTAAACTAAGGGGGCGCACCTGGGGGAACCGCGGGGCGGATGCCGGGGGAACTGCCCGGGGCGAGGAACACTGCCCGGCCCCTTGAGAAGACAGAGGGTAAGAACCCTCTAGGCAGAGGCTAGGTAGGTAAATAGACACACATAACAGGATCCATTATATTTTCCTATATTTTCTGGGTTTGTATCTTCCCCCCCACTTCCCATATCTTCCCATATTTTCCCATCTTTCTTGGGAATCGACAATTGATGTGTCTGTGTTTTTCCTCCCTGAAAGGTCAGGTCATCCAGGGGAGGGCGGGGGGGCCTGATAATTCGGGTTATCGCTGGACGCTTAACAAGCAGTCTCCATCTGAGGTCTGGAGTGCCACACGCAACCTAAGGGAACGGAGCGATCTCTTGCGAGTGCATGCTTTACTTCCGCCCGCTTCCGCCGGCGGAAGTAGGAGCAGGGGGGTAGAAGTGGGTGCTAAGGTGGGTTATATCTGGCCGTCCCTGACCTATAAGTGGGATGCATGCGCCTTATGTGGGGCGCCGCCCACTTGGCGGAATTGCCTAGCCCCCGTAAGCCGCTTAGGGCCCCTGCAACCCAAGTATAGGATAGGATAGACCAGCTATAACCCACATTAGCGTCCACTTCTACCCTTCCTATCCTAACTGCCGCGGTCTTCTCAGCGGAGGCAATTTATGTTCGCCGCGGGCCCGTTTCTACGAGTCCCAGGGCCCGAGAACTCAAGCAACGTACAGGACGGCCACATAAACTTCGGGGGCGGCCAAGCCGGCGGCATGTGCGCGGCCCAGGGGCGGGGCCAGGGGCGCAATTTCAGACAAGAAGAGCCGCCACGCCACCCGAGGGAACATCATGGCCCACGCCGTGATGTCCACCCCCCCCTAGGGGTGAAAGAGGGGGTCTGCAACAGGGGGTCTTCAACGGGGGGGGAATGGCCCATGCATGCTCAACGTAGCGCTCGTGTATGTGATCGGGTACGATCGGCATCCACTGCTGGCGGCCCATAGAGGGCCAGCCGCTCGTGCCCGCGCGCCGCCCGCGCGGGCCAGTGCGCCGTCCGCCCATGACCCTCCAGCCTGTAGTCATCGCCCCCCCCCTTGGCCGCCCCCGAAACCCCTCGGAGGTCCGCGGGGCTCCCTCGGACACAGTCGGGGCGTTGACCTAAGGAACCCTGAATAAGGAACGAGGCCCCATTTTCCCATAAGTTAAGCTCCGATTTCGTATCGAAAACAGAAGGGAAACCCGAGGCAAGCTGCAAAACAATCAAGGAACGCGGAGCCCCTCCCCAACGCAAAGGGCTCCTTCTTCAGAGCCCCGACTGTACCCTCCAACCTATAGTCATCGCCCCCTCTTGGCCGCCCCCGAAACCTCTCGGAGGTCCGCGTGGATCCCTCGGACATCCCCCGCGGAGCACCGGCCACGGCCCCCTCCGCGCGTGGCGACCGCCCCCAGGGCGACGGGAGCCCCCGGCCTCGGGGAGCAGAGCCGGCCGCGCGCCATCTCCCCGACCTCGAAGGGGCAGTCCTGCGCGCGCGCACGGCGCGCCCCGGGGGGGCCCCGCGGCGCCGGCACGGGCTCCGCGCGGGCACCGCGTGGCTCCCAGGCGCCCTCGGGCCTCGGCGAACATCACGGCGGGAGGCCCTCTCGCTGCGTTCGGCTCCTCGGGGGCCCGCACCAGGCCGTGGGAGCATCCAAGAACTGCTCGGCATATGAGGAAAACCAGGCCCGGGGAACCGGGGGAAAGGGGTCCAGACCTCCGACTGGGGGTCGACGTCCAGACCACACCGTGGCCTGGAGCCCGTCGTTGCCTCTTCGCGAGAACGCCCGTGACCCGCCCCCGCCCCGCCCCCGTTAACCCACGCCACGCCTCGCGCCAGCGCCACACTCCCAAACATCTGCAGACGGCGCCGGCGCGAATCGTGACGTGACGGGCCCTCCCTTAACCCCCTCGCCCCCCTGGTCACGCCCGCTGTCGCCAAGGGATGAGCAAGTCTGTGTCGTGGTCGGCCAGGAAGCTCGGTGTGTAGACGCACCAGCTGCCCGACATGCGGGGCTGGAGCGCCCGAGCGTCAAAACACGGCATGCATTCGTGGAGCTCCTGGGCTGCTTGGCCGACGGAGCGGCGTGGTGTATGCATCGAGCCCCCCCGAGGCGCCCCTGCGTGGCCCATCGGCGCTGCCGGGGCGCCCGCGGCCTCGCTGCCAGGGGGCAGGATGAACTGGGACTGGCTCCCCTGGAAGGTATTTGGCCGTGTTGGGCCTCCGGGGGCCCTCGCCGAGGCCCCGGCGGACAGTGCATACAAACTGCGACGGTAAGGCGGTTAGTTGGCCGTTGCGGGCCTCTCGGGGCCCTCGCCGAGGCCCGGGACCATGGCAAAAACAATGTGCTCGGGATGAAAAGCCGGTCCACGGAACTGGGTCGAGACCTCGGGGGGTAGCTTCGTGAGGGAAATCACGGCGTCGGGGTTCTGGGTGGGCGAAGGATGGGGCGGGACTGGCTCCAAGGAGGAGGAACACCCACTCCGAATCGGCGACACTTCGTCGCAGGTAGATCTGCGGTAGGACCTCGATGATAGCGAAGCCACGCGCTCCGGGGCGGAGTGGGGCACCGAGGGCCTGATTGGCGATGACTGGGCAGCTGTGGATCGAAAATTCCTCCCCTGGGCCTCGCACCCACTGTCGGCGCCTCTGGATCTAACAGTCCCCTCGGCGACTGGGGATAGGATTATCCGGTGGGGGGGGAGTCAGGGGGAGGTGCTGGCCGATAGATCGAAACTTTCAGCTTTAGGCAGCCCCACGTACACTCCCGCGCGCAGCAATAACTACCGAGTGCCCCCTTCTGACCTGCTTGACCGACAGGGCCAATCTATTCGGGGGAGGTCGGGGGGGAGGCAGGCGGGCCAGATAACCCAGGTCTTTGCCAGACCCCAGAAACGTTGGGCCCTCACCAAGCCCTTGGAGCCGTCAAAAAACTGCTCAGGATAACGGAAAGAGCGAGGTACGAATGATGACGTTCTGGTGTGGGCGAAGCCCTAAAGGGAGGGGTTCCAGGGGAGGGGGGAAGCGTGCACATTTGTGTGTGAATGGCCGTTTTCGGGTTTTCCCTGAGGTTTTTGCATGTTTTTCGGGTTCCCCCCCAAGACGGCCCAAGAGCACTCCAAAAGAACCCAAGACCGCCCAAGACGGCCCAAGAGGCCCCCAAGAGGCCCCCAAGAGGCGCCCAAGAGGCGTCCCAAGAGGCCACCAGGAGGCGAAAATCATAGATTTTCCAAAAGAAAACGTATATTTTTAGCGTCTACGGCTTTTCGCCTTTCACGGCGTTGACGACGGCCCCAGAGGCCCCCAAGACCGCCCCAAGACGGCCCAAGAGGCTCCCAAGAGGCCCCCAAAACGGCCCAAGAGGGCGCCAAGACGGCCCAAGAGGCGCCCAAGACGGCCCAAGAGGGCCCCAAGACGGCCCCAAGAGGGGGACCACGAACCGAAAAGTCTAGCCTTTCGCCCCAAGACGCTCCCAGGAGGCCCCCAGAGCCCCCCAACGAGCCCCAAGAGGCCCCCAAGAGGCGTCCCAAGAGGCCACCAGGAGGCGAAAATCATTGATTTCCTATGGGGAAAAGGTACATTTTTAGCACACAGGGCTTTTCGGTCTTCACTGCGTTGAAGACGCTCCAAGAGGCCCCCAAAACCGCCCCAAGACGGCCCAAGAGGCTCCCAAGAGGCCCCCAAAACGGCCCAAGAGGGCGCCAAGACGGCCCAAGAGGCGCCCAAGACGGCCCAAGAGGGCCCCAAGACGGCCCCAAGAGGGGGACCACGAACCGAAAAGTCTAGCCTTTCGCCCCAAGAAGCTCCCAGAAGGCCCCCAGAGCCCCCCAACGAGCCCCAAGAGGCCCCCAAGAGGTTCCCAAGAGGCCTCCAAAAGGGCCCGACAAGGGCCCCAATAGGACTCCCAAGAAAGCCCAGAGTCGCCAAATAGAGAACGATCGGTAACGCAAAAAGCTCTTCACACCATGGCTCCCAAGAGCGAACGGTGACGTAAACAAGCTGATAAGACCAAGGCTCCCAGCAGAGAGCGGTGACGTAACAAGTTCCTGACACCAAGGCCCAGCCCAGGCTCAGGAACGGGCGGCAACGCAACAATCTCTGAACACCAAGGCTCCCAAGAGCGAGGGGTGACGTAACAAGCTCTCAACGCCAAGGCTCCCAGTACGAACGGTGGTGTGAGTAATTTCGGTTTCTATTTCTGAAGCGCTCTTTCCGTTTCCGTGCCGGCCCATGTGAAAAACGGACCTGGGGAAGAGCCGCAGAACACATCTGGAATCCCGGTCTACGGCTTTTCTGCATCTTGTGTCCTATCTGGGATCAGTTCCCAGGCCCCAGGGCGGTCAACACAAGGATGAAACGCCAGCCTAGGCTTATAGATGGCGGACTCCGAACCTGAATCCCAAAAAAATGTTTTTCATCTCTTGAGAGCACATGCCGCCTTCCGCCGAGCTACCGCCAGCTTCCGCCGGCGGAGGCGGCCTCGCTTTACTTCAGCCGACCTTCCGCCGCCTTCCGCCGAGGAAGGGGTGACAGCTCCTTCGATCCTCGAAGGCAAGGCCTTTTCTGAAACGCCTCATATTTGGCTTCGGGAGAAGCGGGGGCCAAAGACCCGAGGGCGTTTCATACCCAGGCACGTTCACACGCACGGCATGTCCCACCCCCCGCCTCCCTTCGCCGCCGTGTATTCTTTTTTCTATCGGCGATTCTACCCTGTTTGGAGCCCTACGACAAGGCTTCGGAAGGGGTCGAGAGAAAGAATCTGGGCCGGGAAACTCGAATATATCGAACTACGGTTACTCTGCACTCTCGGCCTCCGCGTTCAATGTCCAGGCCACGAGACCGTCTACATAACGATTCGGGGTGGGAAGCCCGGTCAAAAGGACCGCGGCCAGAGACTCGAAGGCATCGAACCGCCGGACCGAGACATCCGCCGTTTCTTTCGAAGCGTGGCCCCCCAGAGGTCTGGACCCCTTCCCCGGGACATCGTGGTAGCTATCACCACTGGGCCTGCCCCTGCCCCACCCCCTAAGGCCTCCTGCAACATCTCGAGCAAACCGCGCTTATCATGCTTTCTGCCACCTTCGGCGTCCAGGAGCAGTGCGGCCCCACCCCTGGCCGTCAAACAACGACGCGGGATGGTCCACCATGATCTCTCGCTGCGAAGAAATCACGACAAACGGTTAGTGCTAATTTCCGACCTCCGCGGGCCCTTACCAGGCGCCATCAAAAACGATCCCAGGGAAGGGGTCAAGACCTCTGGGGAGCCGCGTTGCGAAAAAAATACGACGTCGGAACTCCAGGAGGATTAAGGGATAGTCCACGGAAAGGGTCGAGAGCTCTGCGGGCAAGCGGCATCGGAAAAATTCGGGCCGTCCGATCCGCTCGAGGTATGGGCCTCGGGGCCCGAGACTCTCGGATCGATCCGCCTCGAAACAGACCCGCTTAAAGCACCGTGTCGAGAGCCCCGGCCAGACTAGTATGTTCTACAGAGGGCGTTGTGCTTTCGTTGCGACTTCGGGTGGCAAGACCTCTGGGCATAAGAGATCACATGTTTTTCCCCCTCTCGTGCGCCCCTCGGCAGCATGAGCTTCGGGCGAAAACGACAGCGAGCATGCACTCAGCGGGTCAAGAACTCGCCGAGGCCTGGAATGCACATGCACCGCGTCTGAGGTGGCTGGAAGGTGGCACTTCCATGCTATGCACTTGCCATCCGAAACTGTAGTGCTCTTGTGCACAGCCGTGGCGAGGTGGTCCGAAAGCGCACGGTCGTCCTCCTTCAAATGTGGAAGCTAGAAGACGGGGGTGCGCAGGCGGACTGGCACTCAGCGCGGCAGTACCCCCGACCGCAGAAGCCTACACCATAACGATGTCACCCGCAGTGGTGGCAGTGGCATTGGTGCGGGCCCTCATGGCCTTGAGCACGTTGGCGTAGTTCCAAGTGAGGTCCCTGGCGGACTTGAGGGCACCATCATCGCGGCCAATCTGCTCGTTCATGTGGACGCCATTGGACAAGAAGTGCTTCATTCGGTCGAAGATCGCATCGCCTGCGCCGAGCAGTGCCTTGGCGGTGACGTCCTGGCCAATGATGGTCTTCAGGGACTCAGCGACGTCAAAGTCCATTTTGCCACCAGCAGACATGGCCGCAGACTGGCGGTAAAGGAGAGTGGCGACAGAGGCAGATAGGAGGACCCATGGGTTGCCGCCGTCATAAGAGTCACCAGGGTAGCGGCCAAAGAGGACACCGGGAATCTCCTGCTTCGCGGCATCCTGGTTGACACCGTACTCCTTGCAAAAGGTCTTGGTAAGGCCGACCATGGTGGTGACGACCTCCTTGCTGAGAGGAGCGAACATGCCATCATTCATGTCGCCAACGTTGAAAGCCTCGATGGTGGCGGTGTCCATCTTGCGGTTCTCGGACTCGATGACGAAGCCATCGCTCTCGACGTGCATGGAGAGCTTCCCAGAGACCTCATTGGCCACGCCAGT